CGAGGGAAGGTGGGTGAAACCTAATGGCCTTTCTTTTCTATTCTCTTTTCTGAATCAGGATAGAAATGAGCAAAAAGCGAGGGGGGCCTCATTCAGGATTGTTACTTTTTCCATTTTTCGCGCTTACTTATACATAAACTTATGAAGTTTCTTCCTCCTCGGGGGGGGGGGGGGGAGGGGGAAGAAACTTCATAAGTTTAGGTATAGGGGGGTCGTACCGAACCCCCCAAAAAAGGGGGGGGGGTCGTACGGGCTTCACCAAAATCCCCATCGAATGCTGTGCCTGATACATATTGAGGAGAGAGAGGGTGTGGCAGCGTTCTTTCTTTGGGCGTGCCAGCGGTTGCGCGTATCATGTTTTCGCGCTTTTTCACAAATATTTCGTCAGGGATTAACCCTAGATTCACTGTGCGATGCGCACGGTATTGTGCGCCACGCAATTCGGTAAAACTTACACCTGATTGAGTGTTCTTGGAATGAAAACAGGAAGACGAGACAGCGTACTAAAATATCCGTTCTACTGGTGGAAGTTCCTTGAATTTATTGTAGAATGTGGGCTCCCTTTGAGAATAGCAAGTTCAACATTTAGAAGATGCATTGCTCGAACGGTACCCTTTTTCAACACAGTTACTAGTTTGATGTGACCCATATTTTTGCAACATGTCCACAATAATTCCATGCAGTAATTACACCTGCAAACGATAGGCGTCTAACGGAGGCATGGCCTGGAGCGCAGCCAAATCAGATTTCCACCAGTTGTAGCGGGCTCTGTATGGCATTACTGATGAAAAGTGGGTAGCCTAGCTGCGCTGCAGTAGGAGCAACGTCACCCTCATCGTTTGCACGTATAAAGTTACTTTACAGCATGTTGAACAGCGGAAGGACCTTGTGTAAGGAAAAATAAGTTCCAATAGGGATGAACTATGCCCACTCACTGATCCTATCCCTCCTAATGTTGAAAATATAGTAGTTGATAAGAGGAAAATATTGTGTGTTGTTCACCTTCCGGTTCTGCAGTTCGTGATCCGCCTCAAGCCAGATAAACATCATTGCTCCCATGGCGATATAAGACAACAAGAGAATATTTAACCCGACATGTGGTAGAAGAATCTTCAGAAGCTGAAAGGAGAATCCTTAGAAAAAAAAATCAGGTGTTCAAGAAAAATAAAAACCTTGAAGGCCTTCCTCCACGTTGGTATGGACGCAGAAATGTCATCTTCCAGCGTATCATCGTCTTCCCTCCGGTATTCATCCCATTTAACGCGACTGATGTTCTCTTTAAAAAATTGTTTCAGATATAATTGTGTAGCTGTGACCTTGTCAATTAAATAAACATGGTTCTCGGTACTATTTACCCTTTAGTGCCAAAAATTTCTAAGTACGGGTCAAATCTGCGATATGTCTGAAAACTGGTTCTAAAAGTCAAGTCTCCAGAATGTCGTATCCGTCTGGCACGAAGCCGTTGGCGCTCGCGCCACAGACGCAGTCGCCAGAATACCCCGAATCAATAAATTTGCTAAAAACTTGTCGCTATGGGTAGCTTGACCTTCCGAGCATAAATATTACATTCGTACAGAGGGCCAACAGAATGAAGCTTGGGAGAGGGGGGGGGAGGGTATGTATGACAGCGTGGCCTGCTTGCGCTCATCCGCACCCTATCGTCGAGGAAAACACTCTTTTCTCTGCCAAATCTGCGCCATAGCAAAGGGTGGAACTACATTAATAGGCAACCAGAAAAGGTGATGTATTGTCCCGCAGTGTTTTTTCCTAAGGCAGCGTTCATACTTCGCGACAGCAGCGGCGATCGCCGCGATCGTCGGTACGCAACAGAGCGCGCCCCAATGCTATTACTTGGACCGCTCTCTGATAAATAAGGAAATCCAACTTGTGAGACCTTTTTTCTCTTAATAATGGCTACTAACTAGAAACTCTACTTAAGAGGATCTGGAATATGAGGAAGGGGGTTTCACCTTTTTTGAGGTCGGAATAAGGGCAACTTCATTTAATAGGTGAGTTTCTTTTTGTTTCCTTTGTTTTCATTGTTTCATTTTATATGAGTGTCTTGAAATTTCCTATTGGTTAAGCTGTTCCAACTTCCAAACATTTATAGTTTACAAGTCGAATTCAAACAACGAAAAAAAAGAAATAGAATGAAACCCACCTAGGAATCGAAACACTAATGTTTTATGCAACATCAAGGAGGAGGAAACTTCATAAGCTTTAAGAATGAAAAAAACACTAAGAAACTTACCCTAAATGAAGCTCCCACGCTTTTTGCTCATTTTTATCCTGAATCAAAAAAGAGAAAAGAAAAGCCATCAAGTTTGGTCCACCACTCGGGCGCTAGAAGATTTCATGCTAAATGCGTGTGATATTCGTGTTCAGGAACTCAAATTCCTCTGGATGCAACTTTCAGTCAAACCTGCCTTCGGAGAGCGAAGACGGCCAAAAAACTGGCTCAGTTTTAGAAGCTTGGGGCACTGAAGCGTAAACAGAGAGTGTGTTGCCCCCTAGTCCTTTTCGAGGAAACTGATTTTCTGATGAAAATGTGTATGGAAAGACATTCTCAGTCGTTATTGCAAACATATCCCTTCAAATATCTTCCTTCTGAAGTTCAGCAATTCACCTCGTACCAACTCGGGAAGATAGCGTTCTGGCAAGCACGAAAGAAAGGCGAGATCACTGAATGGTAGACGAAGGGTGGGGTTCTGGACTACTTGGAATATGTGGCCAACTCCTAGTGAGCCCATCATGGAAGAGATACATTTGAAAAGATCATTTACTTCTGAAACCTCGAATGGAACAGAAGTCTCGGGGAATATGTGTGAAGGGGATGGGTTCCAATTGAAATTTGAGCCTGACCACGATAGTGCACTTCTATGTGGGAACGGGATGGCGAAATTTCGTTGACGATTAGCTAAGAACTAGAGACTGTTACAGAATGACCACCTAATACCAATATCTGAACGCGTAATTATGTGCGCGATTGTCATTATGCGTACATATAATGAGAAAATATGTTCGAGAAAGACTTTACGCCTGATCCCTTCTATAAGCTCGTCAACAAAGAAGGAGCCGCTCAATAAAGATTTTCAGTCAAAGGATACAGTCAAAAAGCACATTTTTCCAAAACTTATAAAACTCAAAACCTATTGTTGGGAAATGTAGTGTAGGTGCAGGCGCACTCAGGATTAGTTGGACGCCGTGAACGCAAATATCACATGCACCTGGCACGAAATTGCTTAGTGCCCTCGCTAGAAGTAACAGCACCAATTGTTTTAATCTACTGTTTTTTATGAGAAAAACTGCTGGCGATGTGAGATGAGCTTCCGGGTACGCTTTGCTGCATGATGTAGGGGCCATATACGGGACCGCACAGATGATCTTTATTTTTGCTGAACGCTATTGGGAATGCCAAAAACAAATTAAAAAGAAGTTGCTCAGAATGGGCGATTTTACTTAAGTTGCTCAGAATGGGCGATTTTACTTATCTTGTTCAGCTCCGATCTAGCTGTAGTGTTGAGGGTGTATAGTTTAAGAGGTAATCTTTAACTAGGCGTGAAAAGCGACGCAACATAAGGTCAAAATTCATGCACTTTACTTGGCGTGTAGTGAGATACACTGAAATTTCTTCAGTGATCCCGCAGCCTCCTTTCTCGCACGCAGCTACTGGCCCCAAGTGGCCTCGGCGCCGAAAATAAGGGTCAGATACGTGATCGGGGCTATTAACTACCACAGTATACGGAGTTTCAGCAAAAACTTTTCCGAGTTCTTTGGTGTGAATAGATCGACCATATGGATGGCAGCGACATCCCAACTCTCACATTTCCGCACCGTGTGGGTAAGAGGCGAGACCAACCGTCATAAATCTCCATTCCGAAATTCATTACGTTTTCAGGAAATGCCATATAGTTCCAGAGCACCTGAATGAGCATCCTGAACCTTTCTCAAGTTTTACCGTCTAGGCTTTTATCGAAGACCTAGTCAGCCGCTGCCGGGATAATACGAGCTTGTTTTCTCTGACTTTTCAGGTGTAAATGGTGTGCAGTATATATATCACCCCATATATATAATTCGCCTTGTCTGTTTGTTTGTTTGTTGTTTTGAGTTTGTAACGGTAAAGTGTTGTCTTCCGAATTCGGTTCGAACCTAACGACGTTGGAGGAGGTCCAGCCAAGGTGGGGATATAGGTTAGGGCATAGAGACAGAATATAGAAGCCACATTTGACCTTATGGCAAGGCCGAGTGCCCCGCCACAGTGGGGGCACTCGCCGAGTTTGGGGTTCCGCAGAAAAATGTTCATAATTCGCTTCCGGAGCAGCTTAAAGATGGGAAAAAAGGGACTAAGGTTAGTAAGGAGTCGCCAGACTAACTGTGGCAGGTACACCCTAGATGCGGCAGGAGCGTACTCAAGGTGGGCGGTGCTTCTCGCAAAATTCAGTAACCGGTTCGCGAGAGTGTTTGGAAGTCGCAAAAAACTCAGTGTAGAATGTAAATATCCGGCGAATATAGGACGTAGTGTGATTGAGACTTCCCACCAGTGGGAGGAGGGCCTTTGCCCCTAAAATCGCAGGGATATTCATTTTAAAAGTTTGTAGGCTGGTTCGCAAGAGCACTCCAGATCCGGTATATAAGTGATTAAGTTTCAGCAGAGGTAGTCCCGGTAGAGGACTGTAGGGCAAAAACATTGTGGGCGGAGCCAGAAAAAAGGTCTGTAAATCAGTTCCAGAGCACTCCGAAGACCGGAATAAAGTGAATTCAGGTCAGCAAGGGGTCACCGATTGAGAAATGTGGGGTAGACAATATTGTGGGCGGAGCCTGCTCCGAGGTGGGCGGAGCCAGACAAAAAGGTCTGTAAAACGGTTCCAGAGCACTCCGAAGACCGGAAAAAGTGGATTAAGGTCAGCAGAGGGTCGCCGGTGAGGACTGTGGGGCACAAACATTGTGAATAAAAAAAAAAGGACGGCGAGCCAGAAAAGGTCTGTAAATCAGTTCCAGAGCACTCCGAAGACCGGAATAAAGTGAATTCAGGTCAGCAAGGGGTCACCGATTGAGAAATGTGGGGTAGACATATTGTGGGCGAGACCTGCCTCGAGGTGGTGGCCACGACATAAAAGGTCTGTTAAACGGTTCCAGTTAGCACTCCCCGAAAGCGGAATAAAGGTGATTAAGTTCAGCAGAGGGTCGCCGGTGAGGACTGTGTAGGGCAAAAACATTGTGGGCGGAGCCAGAAAAAAGGTCTGTAAATATCAGTTCCAGAGCACTCCGAAGACCGGAATAAAGTGAATTCAGGTCAGCAAGCTCACAGAGTTGGAAATTGTTGGGTAGACATATGGTGGGCGAACTGCCTTTATCCGAGGTGGGTGGTAGCCAGACAAAAAGTCTGAATAAACCAGTTCCAGGAGTTACTCCGAAGACGGAATAAGTGCAATTCAGGTCAGCAAGGGGTCACCGTGAGAAATGTCGGGGTAAGAATGGCAGAGGACCTGCTCCAGTCTGCGGTGGCCAGGCAAAAAAAGGTTTGTTAAAACGGTTTCCAGCGAATCACTCCGAACAGACCGGAAAAAAGTGAAATTAAGGTCAGCAGCGGGGTCGCTGTGATGAGGATGGTGGAAGCAAACATATTGGGCAAGCCACGCTCGAGGTGGGCGGAGTCAGACGAAGAATCTGTAAAATAGCTCAAGAGTACTTCAGACACCGGAAAAAGGAGTACAGAACAAAAGGCGGATATCAGTTGAGTCTAGAAATATGTGAAAGAAAATACGCGCGGCGAAGCCGCGCCCGCGCACATCGGGCCGTATCAGAGGAGGCGCCGCGTTAGCTCGGCGAGCGATGATATATATATATATATATATATATATATATATATATATATATATATATATATATATATATATATATATATATATATATATATATATATATATATATATATATATATATATATATATATATATATATATATATATATATATATATATATATATATATATATATATATGTCCTAATGGACCGGCGTGGGCGTGGCAGTGCGGCTGCGTTCGGTGCGGTTTGGCAGACTCGTTCTGCACCAGTTTTTGAAGCGGGCAAAAGCAATTACTGTATTGTATCTTTCGTATTACTCGTTTTCTACCACTTTTTGTCGCATACGCGTTCAACAAAAGGCTGAGAACGGCTTCAACAGTGTGCGCACTCCTTCTGGCTGACACGCCCCACCGGTCCGCAATGATGAGGACTATATATAATACTAGGTTGTGCGGAAAGTTCTCGTTTTGTGTTACTATTTTTTGTACATTCATTGCTGATTAAAAACACTCTCCCTTGCGTCTCAGTAGTACATCCTGAAGAGAATTTTTTGCGCTATCTGATGGTATAATTGCCGTTTCACCATTGCTTGATAAACCCCTTTTCCCAAGACTTTTTGAAGCATGTCAAAAGAGCAACTTCGGACGATATTTTTCTTCAACTAAAAATTGGGTCAATCCGCAGTCGAGACAGCTCGACAAATTAACCAGGTGTGGGGGCCCAATAGTGTTGGAGAAAGCACCGTGCGACAATGGTTCGACAAATTTCGTTCTGGATTTCAGCCTTGAAGATGAACCTCGTAGCGGTCGACCTAAAGCAATACTGACGAGGATTTGAATAGTTTTTGGAGGCTGACCCATCCCAAACAGTTCGAGATTGCAGAAAAGCTAGGCGTTGGCAAATCCACTGTTGCAGATGGTCTGGAACGCATTGGGAAGGTGAAAAAACTCGACAATTGGGTGCCCCACAATCGGAGTGACCGGCAGGAATCGGCACGTCTCGAGGTTCCTTCTGCATTGCTTTTGCGCAGCAGAAACGACCTGTTTTTGGCCGAATTGTCACCTGTGATGAAAAATGGGTCATGTATGATAACAGGAGACGTTCCGGACAGTGGTTGGATTTCGACGAACCACCGAGGTAATTTTCAAAGCCGAACCCTCACGAAAAAAAGATTCTGGTCACGGCTTGGTGGTCATCGGCTGGTGTGATCCACTATAACTTTTTATCACCAGGCCAAACCATCACAGCAGAACCCTACTGTGAAGGAATCGACGAATTGTACCGAAAATTTTGTCAGATGCAGCCAACACTTATCAAAAGAAAGGGTCCGATTCTTTTGCATGACAACGCCCGCCCACACGTTTCACAAATCACTATCCATAAATTGAACGGGGTTGAAGTTCTACCTCACCCGCCATATTCTCCAGACCTTTCACCAACCGACTATCACCTTTTCAAACATTTTCAGAACTTCCTTGCTGGAAAATACTTCATCAATTAGGACCAGGCAAAAAAGACCTTCGTAGATTTCGTGGATTCTCGACCACCCAGTTTTTCTTTGATGGGATTTCTCGACTGCTGTCACATTGGCAAAAGTGTGCTGATTCGAATGGTGCTTATTTGGATTAAATCCGATGAGTGTTAAGAAAGTTATGATCGTTTAAAGTTAAACACTCAAAACACTGAGAACGACGCCACAAGCAAATCAGCGATCCTTGCCTAAAGGACTCGTTCGCATTTCATCTCTGCCTGAATATGGAAGCACGGCAGAACTCGAAACAAGAGTTCCATGAGCTATCCACATACCTATGCATTTTATGTAAACTCAACCATGTGTACATAACTACGATTTACTAGGAAATGTTCGTGCTGACAGCCTCGTCTGGCTACGAGCACTAGCGGATAAGCTGAAGTGTAAGGTGATGTCGAAGCTTAAACCGGGATC